TCACCAGGGGCCACATTAGCCTTGCAGTTGCCTTCAAAGGGCTGAATGTAATTTTAGGATTGTATAAATGTAACTACTCCTTAACAGTTAAGCAAGAGCTCGGCACTGCTGCCAGGTAGAAACAAGGTAGAGATAAAACAAGGTGGAGGGCCGGATTTGGTCTGTAGGCCTTGTGTTTGCCACCTGTGGTCTAAAGAGCCTTGGACATCTCCAAATGAACCAACATCCGAACCATAGGGGTGCCAGAAGGAGAAGAGAAAGAGCAAGAAATTGAAAACTTGTTGGGGAAAAAAACAACAACAGAAAACCTCCCTAATGTGGTGGAGGAAATAGACATACAAGTTTAGGAAGCACAAAGAGTCCCAAACAAGTTGAGCCCAAAGAGGACTACACCAAGACATATCATAATTAAAATGCCAGAGGTTAAGGATAAAGAATCTTAAAAGCAGAAAGAGAAAAGCGAGAGTGACCTACAAAGGAGTTTCCATAAGACTGTTAATTGATTCCACAGAAGAAATTTTGCAGGCAAGAGGTACTCAAAGTAATGAAAAGCCAGGACCTACATCTTAGATTACTCTAACCAGCAAAGCTATCATTTAGAATTGAAGGACAGATAAAGTGCTTCCCAGACAAGGTAATGCTAAAGGAGTTCATCATCACCAAGCCATTATTATATGAAATATTAAAGGGAACTATACAAGAAAAAGATCAAAACTATGAACATTAAAATGGCAATAAATTCATAACTATCAACAACCAAACTAAGAAACAAACTAAGCAAACAAACAGAACATGAATAGAATCATAGATATGGAGATCATTTGGAAGGTCATCAGCTGGGAGGGAGAAGGGAGAGAATGGAAAAAAAAAGGTGCAGGTAATAAGAAGTACAATTGGTAGATACCAAATAGACAGGGGAATGTTAAGAACAGTATAGGAAATGGAGAAGCGAAAGAACTTATATGCATGACCCCTAAGAGAGGGATTGCTGGAGAGAATGGCAGTACTGGGTAGAAGGGGCAAAGGAGGAAAAATTGAGACAACTGTAATAACATAATCAATAAAATACATTTTAAAAATAAAACTAGGGCATTGAGGTGAAACATGTTTTGCTTTCATCTCTGGTGCTTCTCCTTGAGTTATATAGCCTTGAACAAATTATTTAACTTTTTTATGCAAGAAACATACCATATGCATAAATTCTAAGGACAAAGTGAATAAAAATAGTTCCTGTCTAGAAGCTTACAGATTAGGGGAAGAGACCAAGAAATTAATTTCATACAATGTAATAAATACTATCATAAAGTCAAACATGGGGACAATAAAGGGGCATGAGACTTTTAACCTAAACTGGAATGGACAGAGTAGCTTCTTAGAGAGGATAATATTGTATAGTATCTATTACCCTTGTATATACTCTGATGAATCTCTAATGTCTTGAAGTAATAAAATTAAGAGCAATTGTATTTTTCTAGACCAGTGCTGTCCGATAGAAATGTAATGTGATATACATAATTTTGTATTTTTTAGTAATTATTTAAGTAAAAAGAAACAAGTGACATTTTGATAATATATTTATAACCCAACATATCTAAAATAATATCATTTTAACATGTATTGAGGTATTTTATATTCTTCCATATAAGGTCTTTGACATTTATTATGTATTTTACACTTGCCACACATCTCTATTAAGACCAAGCCACATCTTAAGTACTCAGTAGCCTAGCTAGGAACTACTCAATGGCACAGATCTATTTTGGACCAATGGTTTCCAATATTTTCAAGTATGAAGACTTCTTAAATGTTTTGAGGATATCCCCATCACAATTTGACACTTTTAATATTTATTGATTGTTAAATCATATTGAAAAGCTCTATCAATAAATTTAACAATGCTTTCCCATGTATATTTATTTTACATAATGGAGTCTACATATATTTGGAAAGTAGTACAATAGGATATGGTATTACGTCAGACCATATCATAGCATGATATGATATAAGATGCATAAGCTAATTTGAATTAGAATTAGGCCTGACAGAATAGGTAAATCACTATTTTCAGGTATGACTTAAATTCTGTTGTAATCATCTCTATTACTAAGACTAGCAAAGCTTATAGAGCACTTTTTAAGAGGTTCCTTGTAGAGGTGATTTAGATATTACAGTGGCAGGATGATTACCAAGCTAAAGAATTTAGTCCTAAGGTCTTTTTCAGTATGGTGGTGATTAATATTGGTTCTCCTCCCAACTTGTTCACTTACCAGCCCAGACCTTAGGCAATATACTTAACCCCCTGAAGCCTCAGTTTTTTTCATCTTGTTAAAAACCACAAACAGTATCTACTTAATAGTTGAGCATCCTAAGCACCTTATATATATCAACTCTTTAAATCCTCACCACAATCTTATGAGATGTTGCTATGTCATCCTCATTCCACACAGATGCACAGAGTCATTAAATGAGATGTTAAATAATTTGCCCAAGATTACTCCACTGTGATGTGAACCCAAAGCCTGCACTTTTAATCCCTGTGCTGTGCTGCCTGTTTTGAATTGCCGTGAGTCGACAATAAGATAATGTATATAAACATCTAGTACATGCATGTTCAATAAATGTCAGTTTATTATGTTTATTATTATTAAGATTCTAGTGCTCATATTTTGCCTTTTTAAAATGTTCTTTTCTAAATTGAAATACCTTGCCTTATCATTCAGAAAACAGTTCCAAGTCCCACCACTTACATCAGCCTTTTTTTAACTGGGTTGATTTTTCTAAAAATTCATTTTGATATCTAAGTGTGGTTGGCCCATGATACTCTATCAATGATTATACCTTAATACTTTACCAACAGTGGTAATTGAAGAGGAGGAAATCTCTCTCACATTCCACCCCCACTCACAGAAAGTCTCTTATTCTCATTTATTCAATAGGGACCTATTCTATGCCAGGCTCTGTGCTAGGTGCTAGATATTTGTTGGTGGCAAAACAGATGGTTCTCTTTCTCATTTTGACGACAGAATATGACATTAAACAAATATATAAGTACAAAATGTGGTGTTACAAAGAATAAAAACACCATTTGAAAGACAGTCTAAGGGATATAACTTAAGTAGGGGAAGTCAGAGAAAGCCTCTCTTGAGGAAGTACATCTAGGCTAAAGAATGAGACCTGAAAAATGAGTAGGACTTTGCCAGGGAAAGAGTGACTGGAAGAACATTCCAGTCAATGACCCTGAAGCGAAAAGCTAGTCATGTTTAGAAACTGAAGAAAGCCAATGTAGCTGGGAAATAGTGAGCAAGGGTGAAGTGACAGAAAATGAGACTGAATACTATGCAGGGTCATGTCAGAATCTGATAAGGTAAAAGTACATTATGCAATTTGAGAAAGATACCTATTATTTACACAATACAAACTCCAGGAATTAGACCTTGCCTCCTAACTCTTGTTGACTAGAAGTGGGGAGCAGGCACAGTTTTAAAAAGAATGAGCAATACTGACCCACTGATATTATTTCAAGCATATTAGTGTTGCTTCTAAATAGTGAATTCATTAACATTGCATCTGATAGTTTTGCGTGAAATTGGTAAATATCCACACTGTCTGCTATGATGTGCAAGATGTTACAAGGAGGTGAATACGGTTGAGTGACATTGCCTGTGGCCACAAAGGAGCTTAACAGCTATTATCAAGTAATATAAGGAAATGAATAAAAAGAGGGGGTGGAAGTTATAATACTGCATGGCCTAAGTATGAAATTAAGCCTGCTGTAACATTCTGAATTAAAACACTTATTATATATTGTATATTGAGGTTTAAATTATCTACTTGATTCTGGGAACTGAAGGCCAGGTTGGATGGGGAGTAAAGTTAGAGAGAATCAAATGAATTAATGCACATCAAGCACCCCAAAACAGTAGCTGATGTATCAGCAAATAGAGCTACCAGTGTTATCTACAGTGATTTATTTTTTCCAAAACAAAATTACCATTTAATTAATACTTAGAAAAATAACAAAACATTTGAATAAATAAGTTGATTATGTTAGTTATAAATTACTAAAGTGAGAAATAAACAAAAGTTTTACAATGAAGATAGAAAAGTTCAGATATTGTGTGTACTATGCAGTAAGAACCAGATAAAAATAGACATTGCAGAAAGGCATGTTCTATCTGAATATTTACCCTATAGCTGAGTTATAAATCACCTAAGCAATATTACAACTAGTTCAGCCTTGTACCCCAGAAGGACCATGAGGTGAGTATGTGGCTAACCAACTGAGCCTTTTAGCATAGGGGCAAAACCAGTGACATCCCAAAGAAATAGTCTCCCAGTGTCAGAATGAGGATATGGATTCTCTCCCCATATCTTGGTTCCTAATCTTTCTCTGTAAAACCCTAGCAAATGTCTAGAAGTGGTTTAGATAATTGACCTATGCTTGTGTCCCCAAGTATTTCCCATTACACTGTTACTTCTGATTTTAAAGCCCTAATAGCAGTATAGGAGACAAGAATAGAGAATTATGAATTGGATGTGGTACCAAAAAAGTAATGCATAGGAGGAAGTTTTGCTGCACTGACAGTATAGAACAAATTTATTTACCAGAAAGAGCTGTTGGTTCCAAGGGCTGCTACCCAGTATACTTTCTAAGCCCCAGAATTAACACCAAAGTGGTGAGAGATAAAAGTAGGGACTTTCCCCAATGGATAGGGTTGGCATGAGGCTTTCCAAAATTATCAATAGAAGAAACGAACAGATGAAGAAACAAACACTGAGAGGATTGTTTGATTTCATCTCAGACATCCCATTGAATCCCATAGATTAAAAGCAGGTATGGCCAGCCCCTGTGCTTTATAAGTATAAATGATGAAGCATCTTGAAGAAAGGGATCTAAACGGTTGTCCAATATGGAAGAGGACTTAAGATGGTAAGGAAGGAGGAGCCTGGGAGTGACTAAATGATCCAATGTCACAGAAATAAAAATATTAAGAACAAGAGTAATTCTGATTGCTTTATCAAAATGTTCCTTACAGAATTCTTTACAAAAAACACCATTTTCATAAATAGTCATTCAACAAATATCAAGACCTTCCATGTATAGGACACCAATCAAAAAAGGCAGAAGATCCATGTTCTTGGTTCTTAATATAACTCCAAAATATTTAAACTTCTAAAAGGTTAACTTAAAAATCTTAAACTTTACATCACTTACAATATCAATGGTGCTGAAATTTTGATTTAGTATTGTAGTGCTGTCCCTATTTTTTGTTCACAAGAACAAAAGCTTATTATTCTCTTGCTATCTGAAATATGTTCCTATGTTTTAACTATACATTAATATAAATATATGTGTGTAAAACAAAATTTTCTGACTTCTAAATGAATTTGAAAAATTATGGAAACAAAATTAGTATAAAAGTTAAAATTACAATATATTTAATCCATTAATTCTAAAATTTTGGATCACCTTCATGAAAGAAATGTACGAACTGTACCCTTGATTGTACCTCTACAAATAGGACATTTTCTTAGAGAAGGGGCGCAATCTTTGCATACTGCTAGATGACCACAGGGAATAAACACTATGGACACTTCTTTGTCCATACACACTTTACATGTTCTTTCTTCTTGCAGTCTCCTCAATTGTTCTTCCATTGGTAAATCTAAGAAGAGAAACACGTTTTTAATAAAAGGCAGTTTGCTGCTTCTCCTTCAATGAAAAGCCAAGAAAATAAAAATAATGTTTTCTACCGGTTTAAATCATTAATGCTATTTTACCTGAAATATTTTCTGTGGGAATATACTTGATGTCCTGTTGCACTAAGGGAGAAAAAGAAAAAAGCATTACTATGGCAAATAATATTTAGTCACAGAGTACATATTTTTATTTTTTTATTGTTATTCTATTACAGTTGTCCCAATTTTTCCCCTTTGCCCTCTCTGCCCAGCCCACCATCCACAGAGTATATTTTTAAATCAACAGTTTAGACTTTGGCCAAATAGTATAAATAACTGTCATAATGTCAAGGCAATGAAAGTGTTTTGTGCAGTTAATAGTTTATAAATTAAATAGGATTTCTTCAATAATCACAAGTTATCAATAACAGCATATTTTTAATTGACCTAGAAAGTTCTCAAAACTAATTTTCTAGCACTCACCAAATAAACGCTTGTATAACACGGGGTCAATTTCTTGTAGAGACTTTCTGAATATGGTGGCTGCAAAATTTCCTTTTACTATAATAGTATCAATCAGTTCTCTTGCTTGCAAATATGTCTGTGTTTTCTGTTTAATAACTTCATGTTCTTGTTCATTAATCACTCTGGCAATTAGTAGACTATCCAAGATTGGAAGCACACAAGTCAAATGTTGAAAAAGTGCCATTCTATTTTTCCGGATACATGATAGATCATCTTTATAAAAAAGAAAGCAAACACAGACATGTTCAATCTCTGCTCACAAACTTCCTTCCAGGCCTACACATACAACTGAATGAAAAACAATCATAACTCATAATAACACATTGAAGTTGATTGCTAGGTTTGAGGGTAGCTGATCCCTTGTGCCTGATAACAATGCTACTTATAATAAGGACTAACATTGAGAACTGGGGTAAGCACTGTATGTGTATTTACTCATTTCATCTTCATGACAGCCCTCTAGTGTAGATCCTAGTATCTTTTTTTTAAGATTTTATTTATTTATTTTTAGAGAGGGAAAGGAGGGAGAAAGAGAGAGAGAAACATCAATGTGCAGTTGCTGGGGGTCATGGCCTGCAACCCAGGTATGTACCCTAACTGGGAATCAAACCTGCAACACTTTGGTTCGAAGCCCACGCTCAATCCACTGAGCTACAACAGCCAGGAAGATACTAGTATCTTAATGCAACAAATAAGAAAACAGTGTGGCAAGTAAACTACTAGAGGACACACAACTAGCAAAAGTCAAACCAACACAGTGTGGCATCATAATCCGTGCTCTTAACCATTTGGCAATACTGCTAAGCCTTTAACCAAATAAAATTTAGGACCTAATAAAATTAAAATTTTGATTCAATCTGGTCAAACTGGGAAAAAGTAAAATCAGGAAAATTAAAATGATAAAACATTTTTTCTTAAATTATCATATGCCTATAAAATTCCTTTAAAATTCCATTTTAAGATGCAATTTTAATTATTAATATTTCCCCAAATTAGACATGATATTGCCATTACCTGACTATTTTATAATAAAAGGGGAAAGACACTAATAGCATTGTGAAAACTAAATCCTACTTGTCAGCGACACATTCCTGTCCTTTAGGAGCTTTTTACCCTCCTTTCAGATCTAGATTTGGTATTTATTGGTAAAATGTTTCCTATTTTGAAACTCTGAAATTTTATTATCTCTTTGGAAAATGACCTATGACTCTAATAGTTATTTAGTTATCATGTAGTTTTACCATGATCCATAAAGCTATTTCTATTAAATAACTAATGACAGAAGTTGGATTGTCTAGTGGAGAATTATTTGGGAGAGATGATTTTTTAGATTTTTAGAAACATTGAATTTGGCAAGTAATAGGACACAAAAATAGAACCAATTAATGAAGAATAAAATATGGGGCTTGGTCAAAAAGTCAAGATTAGAGACACGCATTTTGAAGAGAAGTGAAAGTCTGAGAATAGCAGAGAAGAGGACCAGGACCTAGAAAAGCATCCAGCACAAGGTCAATGCTCCATAAACACATGTCGAACAAATGGACGACCAAGCCTGAGTGATTTGAAGAGCAATGGGAACAAAGAAGTAATAACCAAAGTGGGAGAATAATTAGAACTTATTCTGTTAAATTACCTGTGTTAGAGAAATAATGGTATGTTAAAAAATTAAACTAGAATTTATAGTTGATGTTGAAGTATATTAGTTTTTCAACCTAAGACTAATTTTTTAATTATATTTTACTTAACCTAATTAATGAATTCTCTTAAATTTTTAAGATTTCTAAAATTGGATTGCTAGAGGCAGTGGAAAAATGTCTCATTTCCTAGTCATAGACTGTACTCTGGTTAATAAGAGGTGAAAATACCTTTGAAGCATATCATTCTTTTATTCTGGAAAAATATCCTTAATTGCCTCTTTATTTACACACCTGTCAATAAACGACCCATTGTTCATTACTCACCCATTGTTCTTGGGAAACTATAAAATAATCAGTAACTTAAATGGAAATATTTTCATTCACTCATTCAAAAAATATTCTTGAGTGCAGACACTGTGTTAGGTAGTATGGATATAATGCTGAGCTGAGAAGCTAAGGGATCTTTTTGACAATGCAAATTATTGTGTATTGTTGACTTGGGGTTATATCTGGAGACTTTGTTGATTTTCTTGGGAGGAAATATAAATATTTTATAACTGGATAACTTTAGGCTTCATGGGTCTATAAATACTTGTGGAGATGGGTGTTCTTTCTTTGAGCAATTGTTTACTGATGAGCAATGGCCCAGCCTAAGAAGACTACAGGAAGGACTTGCAGTCTGGTTTTCACTCCACAGTGAAAAAGAGAACTTGAGTAGGATGGGCAAAGGTGAACTTGGATGAGTTTGCGGCTGAATTGGTGGTATGTAGGACTGAATAATTCACACTTTGATAAATATATAATACTGTATTACTATATGTATTATAATGTACTATATGTACTATGTAATGCTGTAAATACTGATACATTTGCTTGGCTTGGCCAGAAGATAAAGCCACCTTCGTGGGCAGTGTAGGTTTATTTAGGAATGGAGTGGACAATCTCACTGTCAATCTAGGAAGAAATAGATCCCAGATGGCCTTGGACAAGGATAAGGGGTAACCTCTTTTCTCCTTCTGGGCTTAGTGGATATTTGGGGACCTAGGCTTTGATATGGGAAAACATGCTTGGGACTTTCCTAGTCATTTGTGTAAACTGGCCAGAGCTACGCAGAGATGAACCAGAAGCCAGGAAGAGGGATTCATGAGGATGGACTTAGAGGCACCAAGAGAGGCTACATAGTTACAGTTGTCAATTGCCATTTATGCTCTAGTATGCTTCTGTTATCCCTGAATCTCCAGGAAGAGTGTGTTAAAAGTTGCAGTCTGTTTTTAGCTGTGTTGAAAGGACTCTCAGATCTAGTCCATGCTGGAGAAAGATGGCAAAGGGGAGATCATTTTTCTCTCTCTAGGCCACAGTAACGAGAGTAATCAGAGCAACCAGATGAAACTGGACATGCTCTGAGGAACAGAGTTTTTGTGAAAGGCAACATGGTAAAGGCAATAGAGTAGCAGACAAAGCTCATATGGAAGGACATGGGTGGTTGTCTTGAGAGAATGTGAAATGGTATCCTAGGACTCCCCTAAATACTAGGGGGACAATAGGAAGGGAAACTTGGCTCTTGGGTGGGCAGGTGAGAGACTTAATCATAATTTTTATACGAATTCATAGCTACAGGTTAAGACCTACTGTTAGGCTAATATTAAAATTAATAATTGTCCCTGATCCCACCCCAACTTACAGCAAATGGGAGTGAGCAACTAGCCTGGGGTCAAAAAATATGCCATGACTAATTACATACATAGTCAGTTACCCAGAGTAAAATTATAAAGTAAGAAAAAGCAGGAAAAATGCTTTCATTCAATATGTACATTTTCAATTTATTAAGCAATTCAAATATATTTTAATGTGAAGAAATTTTTCAGAACTCAAATTCAGAATACTGAACATAAGAAAAATTTGATTGAATTGATGATATTTTCAGTAACTTATATACAATGACACCAAATTCTTATAGAAATAGAGACTGCACTAATAAATATGTGTACCTGATTCTTCTTCCTCAGTTGCTCTTTCTTTCTCTTCTTCCCTTATTTCATCTTCAGCATTAAGTAAATCTAATACAAGATCACTGATGACTTTGTAGTTCTCTCCAGTTGTTAGGATTTTACTCTGAACTGTCTGTTTGACCAGCCTTCTACTGAAGCCCATTTCCAAGGCAGCTTTAACCACAGGTGTATTCATCATGACCGCATCTTCTGAACGATTTTCTCCTGGTCCATAATGAATAACTGTGTGGAACAAAGAATTTAACATATATTGGGATAATCTGTGTATTTTTTAAATGGAAAGTTATTATAATATCAAAAGCATAAAGTCCCCCAAACAGGCACTATTTTATATAAACTTTGTTAAATTTAAAATAATGAGCCTGGCCAGTGTGGCTCAATTGGTTGGGTTTCACCCTGGAAAACGAAAGGTTGCCAGTGTAATTCCCAGTCAGGGCACATGCCTGGGTTGCAGGTTTGGTCCCCAGTGAGGGTGCTCTCTCACATTGATATTTCTCTCCCTCTCTTTATCCCTCCCTTCCCCTCTCTCTAAAATCAAAAATAAAAATAAAATTTATTTACAATAATGATATACATGTTCAGTTACTAGAATAAGAATATAGAATATTGTGTTCAGATACAAAATATGCATTATCTGGCGTAACTATGAGTGGGAGAAAGAAATGGAATGTCGGAGATCACTCCCAGCAGAACAGAAGTTCTTTTTTCCCGTGTTGAATGAAAAAATGAACTTTCTAAATCAAGTATATTTCACATATTTTCAAAAGAGACCATTGTCCTCATGCACCTTCATTACTGCAATGGCCTCTTTCAGTATTGCTCCCATCTAGTTCATTCTCAACATTGCAACCGTTGACTTTTCAAATACTAAATCTGCTTGTGTCACACTCTTAAATTCATCAACAATTCCATTGTTCTCAGGATAATATTCGATTGTGGCTTGTAAAATCTCATACATTATCTTGACTTGGTTTACATCCTTGTTGGGAACTGCCCTGCCTGGTTTCAGGAGCTATAACCCCCCCATGACTAAGGCTGAGTGAGAGACATTGGGACCATAAGCCACTAAAGAGACAAAGCTTATCTCCCTGGCTGGGGTGCCACCTCTGTCCCCTTTACTTCACCCTGCTTGGCCCTAAGCCTGACCAGTTAGCCAATGATGGGTAAGATTCCTCAAGGGAGGGATGATCTAAGACAGTCACAATCACAAAGGGGCCCCCAGGGAAGGACTTGGGGGACTATAGGAAAAGGGGGTGATGGACCCTCACCCCTCGGCTTTGACATAGCCTAAGTCCTCATTCTGTCTGCCAGAAGCCCCCTAATCTCTTGGCTGCCTTACTTCCCCTGCCTGACTTAAACCTGAAACAATGACAGAGGTCTGTGCAGTCCTATGCTGGAAAGGGTGGGTTCCCTGGGTGATCAGGCCTAAGAAAGAATACATAAAATCCTGTGAAAACTGCTTTGCTAAGAATGCTCTCAATTTTCTGATAAGGGTCTGAGCATGAAATACATTTGTTTCCCAAAGTTTTATAGCCCTTCAGCTAACTGACCCTGACTCAGAATAAGCTCTCGTAGTTCTTTGTATGCTATCTATTATTTGATCCTTACTGCCTGACAATGATTGATGATCTTTACCTGTATTCCTGTGAAAACTGAACTCAATAAAAGCTTATTGAGGAAAAGGCTCCTGGCCCTTCTCTTTTGAGAGATTGGCCACCTTTCCTCCCCAAGCAGATCATGTCTTGGTAGATTTATTCTCATCCGTGGTAGCTGGGACGGCCCTGCGGGCAAAGCCCCCCCCCCCCCCACATCCTCATTCTTGTCTCTCACCACTTGTTCATCCATACTCTGCACTCAGTTCAGAAGTCACAGATTCTGCCTGCAGTTCAGACTGCTCTTACTGCTGACCTGATTCATTCATTTATCTGTGTGCAAATCCTACATCTGGCCATACAGAATCTTGTTTAGTCCTTCAAGTGTGTCTGTTCTCTTTTGTCACTTAAGTCTTTCATATGCTGATCTTTCTGCATTTTCCTCCCTTTGTCTCTTGGTTAACTGCTACTCTTCCCTTTGATTCTGTAATAAGACAAATACCTCCTGTAATCTGAAGCTTTTTCTGATCTTCCAAGTCTGGATTAATTGTCCTTCATCCACTCTTATAGCACAGAACTTTCCCACCATATCCCTCTCTCCTGTCTTTGTATTGGTCTGTATCCCTTCACCAGTTAGGTCATGAGAACAGGGGTTATGTTTATCCTGTTCTCTATTCTTTTTTTAAATGTATTTTATTGATTATGCTATTACAGTTGTCCCATTTCCCCCCTTCTCTCCCCTCCACCCTGTACCCCCTCTCCCACCCACGTTCCCCCCCTTTAGTTCATGTCCATGTGTCATTCTTATGAGTTCTTTAGCTTCTACATTTCCCGTACTATTCTTGCCCTCCCCCTATCTATTTTCAACCTACATTCTATGCTACTTATTCTCTATACCTTTTCCCCCCTCTCCTCCTCCCACCCCCCCTGCTGCTAGCCCTCCATGTGCCCTCCATTTCTGTGGTTCTGTTCCTGTTCTAGTTGTTTACTTAGTTTCTTTTGGTTTTGCTTTAGGTGTGGTTGTTCATAATTGTGAGTTTGCTGTCCTTTTATTATACATGTTTTTTCTTTATCTTCTTTTCTTAGATAAGTCCCTTTAGCATTTCATAAAATAAGGGCTTGGTGATGATGAACTCCTTTAACTTGACCTTATCTGAGAAGCACTTTATCTTCCCTTCCATTCTAAATGAGAGCTTTGCTGGATAGAGCAATCTGGGATGTAGGTCCTTGTCTTTCATGACTTGGAATATTTCTTTCCAGCCCCTTCTTGCCTGTAAGGTCTCTTTGGAGAAATCAGCTGACAGTCTGATGGGAACTCCTTTGTAGGTTACTGTCCCCTTATCTCTTGCTGCTTCTAGGATTCTCTCCTTCGTTTTTACCTTGGCTAATGTAATTATGATGTGCCTTGGTGTGTTTCTTCTTAGGTCCAACTTCTTTGGGGCTCTCTGAGCTTCTTGGATTTCTTGGAGGACTGTTCCCTTTGCCAGATTGGGGAAGTTCTCCTTTATTATTTGTTCAAATACATTTTCAATCTGTTGCTTTTCTCCTTCCTGTTCTGGTACCCCTATAATTCGGATGTTGGAACGTTTAAAGGTGTTCTGGATGCTCTTAAGCTTTTCCTCGATTTTTTGAATTCTTATTTCATCATGCTTTCCTGCTTGGTTGATTCTATCTTCCTTCTGGTCCACTGTATTGTTTTGAGACTCAGATTCCTTCCTTTCACTATTGGCTCTCCTCCGCGTATCTTCCTGCATCTCTTTTATGGTAACCTGCATCTTTTCATCTAATTTGCACCCAAAATCAACCAATTCTGTGAGCTTTCTGATCACCAGTGTTTTGAACTGTGCATCTGATAGATTGGCTATTTCTTGGTCGCTCAAAAGGATGAGTCCTGGGGGACTGATCTGTTCTGTTGGATACATGTCTTCTATCCTGTTCTCTATTCTATCCTCAGAGTAGCAGATACATAATAAATATTTATTGAATTGAATTGAATACTAGATAATAGAGTAAAAGAGCTTGTTCAAATATTGGCTCTATCACCTCTTTTAAGGTGATGGACAGATCACTTAACCTCACTGAGCCTCAGGGTCACTATTTAAAAACAGGAATAATATCTTTACCCTCTCCATTTCACAGAAATGATATGTGAGCAATCAAAAGTCATACTGCATGTGTTTCCAAATGGTCTGAGAGCAAGAGTTAAGACTGGATGTACATAGTTCTCAGAATAACAGATGCTCCAGCACCACCCTTTGATACTATGATTCAATCCAGTAAGTTTGCAATAGAGACCAGAAATCTGTAATATCCTTTAAAGTTCCTTAGGCAATTATAATATGCCCAAAAGCTTGAGAAATACCCACTTAATGTATTTGAAAAAGCACTTTAAATTATAAATCATAACAAATGTATATTATAACTATTATCAAACATCAATCTGAACAGTACCAAGTGGCTCTATTTAAATGCAGCAATTATCATTCCACGTACTTGGTGACTCTGCATTTTCATCTTCTGGATTGTCTGAAGTAGATAACAGCTACAGGGGAAAATAAGGTATAAAAATTAAAATATAAATCTTATCCCATCCATTGCAAAAAATAAAATGAATCAAGAGGTGTATTTTATTGAACTTATTGCAAACTGACTTGCTTGTGGACAATACAATTTTTCATGTCAAAAGCACTATTTTATTTATATATAACAGCAATTTCCTAAGCCATAAACTGATAGAGTTTCTTCATGTATGTGTATGTGTATATTAGCAAATAAATTCTGTTTGCATTAAGGCAGGAGAAGGGCTAGACCTTTTCAGTGATCAGTTCAGTGATGACACAACTATTGTTTGCCTTTCATCCCAAAGAGCTTATATTTCCCGGTTCATTCTCTGGGATAAGTTGGACATTTAAAGTTCCATTTACTACAGCTAGAAAGTGTTTGATCCCCAAGCTACTATATAAGTTCTTATTTGCTTTTCCAGGAAGATTAGAAAGAGCAATGCAATTCTCCTTCTCAAATCTTTTTAAGGAAAATTAATATAATAAACCATTACAATTCTACTATCCCATCCAATTTTTCCTCAAATAATTTTATTGTGACTTTATTAGAAAAATATTTAAGAGAAATATTATTTTTCATGAGGTTTTAAATTCTGGATCTGTTTTTATCCTAATAGTACTTTCTAAAATTTACTTTAATGAAATGAGGAAAGAATGAGGAAGCTGAACACATTTTCTAATAAGTAGATATTCACAAGTTTGACATTTCCTAGATAATATACATCCACAGTCAAATTTAAGTTTAGCATCTAAATCATGCTTAGTATTGTAAAAACAAAAATGAATTTTTAAAGCAACTCTTGCCTTTGAAGTAAAATGCTACTCTCTGTAAATACCAGAAAATAATTTATCTGTTGTTAACCAAAGTTTAAAAAAAAATAAAGTCTCTACCTGTTCAAGCAGATGAGGGTAACTGGCTTGAATTCGGCTGATGAACTCTTGTCCTTTAACTCGTATCAAGTACTCACACCTAAAATGTCAACAAAATTAAGTTTGGGGAGTTATTTTAATCTGGCCATTTGTGGACTGGTCATATTTTAAAATAACATAATATACATATAACTACTTGATTATTCATTTAGCACATGGGAAGTGGTAAGAGATGCTGAAGTCAAAGGCAAGATGACGTGAGCCAGAGAACGGCTATAACGGCAACCCGCCAAGGCTGAAGAGGATGTGAGTCACACGCTCTCCGTCTGTGGTGGATGAGTTAGGCTACCTCCACTCAGAGCTCCTAGCTGCTCTCTTCGACTATGCTAATATTCCTAAAAACACTCTGAACATTAAGAACAGAGCCAAAGAGACAGGTAGAAAGTTATTTCATTATTGATACTGTTGATAAATAAGCTTTTTATGTTGAAAAGATGAAAATATACAAGGGGGAAAGAATGAAGAAGCTGAACACATTTTCTAATAAGTAGATATTCACAAGTTTGACATTTCCTAGATAATACACATCCACTGTCAAATTTAAGTACAAAATGAATTCATGATAATAGCAAAGCAAATTTACCATTGTTTTTATCTATTCATAAAATTACCAGAATGGAAAGTTAGCAATACTTTTTAAAACACTTTTGTAAAATGTTCTTTATAATTTTTGAAATCTGAAATATTTGGGAGGTACTAAGTTGCTATAAATGAAGCTGCAGTATTATATTTAAACACACACACACATATATATATGAAAAAGAAGTTAGGATACTAAGGTTAGTAATCAACATTAAAAACACTACAACTTTTGACCATGAAAAAAATTATAGGCCACCTGATTTTGATTTTAAAAAGGGGGAACTCTAAACAAGTATGGAATAATCAAAAGTGTAAGACATGACAATAAAAGGCTATGTAGTGATCAAAACAGATGGGTCTATATTTACCTTAATTGCCCTATTTAATATTACAACCTGCTTGGTGCTTCTGATCTCCCCTACCCTGCTCTCTTTTTTTTTCTTTTTATTGATAGTACTTATTATCTTCCAACATGTTACATAACTTACTCATTATGTTTATATTGTCTGCCCTATCCTGCTATAAAATCAGCTTATGAAACCAGAAGTCTTGGTTTTGTCCCACTGAGTATTTTAAGCACTTGGAACAATACCTGGCAATAGATCAATTAATATTATTTGTTTAAAGTATATTTTATTTATTGCACTATTACAGTTGTCCCCATTTTTCCCCTTTGCCCCTCTCCACCCGGTTCCCCCTTCCCTCCAGCAATCCCCGCCACTTAGTTCATGTGCATGTAGGCTCTTTGGCTTCTCCATCGCCTATACTGTTCTTTACATTCCCCTATTCTGTACCTACCAGTTATGCTTCTAAATCTCTATACATTTTCTCCCATTCTTCCCTCTCTCCCTTCCTACTGATAACCCTCCATGTGATCTCCATTTCTGTCATTCTGTTCTTGTTCTAGTTGTTTTATTAGTTTGTTTTTGTTTTTTAGATTCAGTTGTTGATAGTTGTATCAATTAATATTGAATGTTGAATGAAATAGAAATATATGCAGATATGTTGACTGAAAAACAGCTTCAAAACAGTATCCACAATATCTAATTCATGTAGTAAAATTATATACATTCATCTATGTATGTACATATGCATAAAGAGATTCTAGAGGGATGCTCACCAAAATGGTAACTAGTCATCTTTAGCTTGTGAGTTCTGGACATTTTAATTTTTTTGTCTCTGTACTTGTCTCCAACATGTGATTTTGGTTTTATAATAAGTGTATATTATTTTAAAATATATACTAATTACACAAAAGATCCTAAACCTATTTTTTCTTTGTCTTAAATTTTCATCAAAATCTTTTGAGTAATTATTTTTCTAAGTAATCTATCCATCCATCCTAAATTAATTCACAAATATGTTTTTGAAACAAAGAAGAAAGTAACAGCTGATTATAAAGTACACATATATAACCTATCTCATGACAATCAACCCATTTGCAAAAAGAATATCAAAACAATTACCTTGGAAACCACTTGGCATGTTCCACCCATGGGTCATCTCCAGGTTCCCAACACCTCAGTCCACCATCACAACAAAAGCATTTGACATCATCATTGTAACCTAAAATTAATTTCGGACCAAAACTTATAAATACATATAATTTTCCCACTAAAATGTATAAAACATGTTGAATTTTTTAATTATTATTAGATTAAGTGTCTTACCCATGTAATAAAAACCAGCACTTGCAAGCTGCTGAGGATGAACCGGAACACTAGCGGGCCAGTTACTGTATGTTCTAAAACGGGCTGCCTGTGTCTGCATGCTCAGATTAGAAATACTGTATCTTGAAGCATCTTGAGGCTGACTTTCCAAAAATGGGCATTTGGGGAAATGTCTCAGGTGTTCTGTCATAGCATCATCATTTGGTTCCCAGTTGCTCAATTTTCCACCACAGGCAAAGCAAGCCACTCTGTCTCCAGGTCCTATGTAGTAAAAGCCTGCTTTTGCCAGATCTGTTGGTGATGGGCAGGCCAATGGCCACATCTGGAAAGTAAGTAATCTGGCGTTTTCAGTATTCATTAGGCAATAGTTGGGACTTCTCAAGGCAGAAAGATCTTGATTTGCTTCGGAGTTTACAGGACTTGAGGGAAAGCTTGAATAAGAGCCACTGAAATAACCAATGTTTTCTGAACTTGGAAGTAATAAATGTGTAGAATTTGTTACTGAAAAAGGCAAATTAAACTGAAAGGCGGCTCCCGAAATGTTACCTGAATTTAGTTTCTGAACAAAGCTACAGCTAGGATACAACTTTTTATGCTTCTCAATAGGGTTGTCTCCTTGTTTCCAGTTATCCAGCATCAGGCCGCAACAGAAACATTTGACCTTGTCATTCACACCAGTATAATAAAAACCAGCACGAGCAAGACTCCTTTCCGACACAGGAACGGCAGTGGGGAAAGTCGAATACGTAGACATTCGGAATAGTTCACATGAAAAGTCGTATTTCAATTCAAACATGTTGGCGTTTTTCATCAGATTTGATAAGAATTTGCTGTCTTCTACTATGTTCATGAAGAAATGGATGGGGAGGAAAAGGGACTAGCCTTTCTCTAGGGAGGTAGTTTTGTGCATGACTTTTGATTTTTGTTAATTTTAGTACTAGGTGGAACACCTAGAATGGGAAATCTGTTCTTTTTGGTTTCAGCACAACAAGATTGAAGTCCTGTACTGATACATCTTAAGGGACAATTATGTATGAAGAGCACCTTTGTATAATCATACAATGTAAACGTGATGCTACACAGTACCTTGTGATGAAATTAAAACCCTTCATAAAAGTGTAGAGTGCTTTAGGTCATCGAGATGCCATTTAGTGTCAGGTATTCCACAGGTGGGTCAACTTCTCCACTAGAAGGCTTCAGTGACATTCAGCCAGCCTAAAGATAAAATGTCTGACTCAGCTGGCTTGCTTTCATGATGGAAAGTTATGCTCTATACTTAATTACTCTGCAGAAAAAATATTCAGACTATGTTTATTTTGCCTTATTTTAATTGTGAAATTTGATAGCCAGGAAAAGAAAGTATTAAGAGGACAAGAATACATTACCATAGTTCACTGATTGTACGATGCATGTTTTAATATCTCTGGTATCGAGAGGTATCTTTATGATATTTAAAAGGACAATTTAAATATCATTTAATTAGCAGCATTTTTATTTCTTGGAGGTATATAAAATAATATACTTTATAATTGATGACATTTTAGATTCAATGAAATATAGTATATCCCAAGTCTTGCTCAAATTAAGTAATTTTTTTCCTACAATCATTTTAATAGGGAGAACAAATCAATCTAAAATTTTCTTCCAGATAGAGCTTAAGTAGTGACAGAACTGACAGATATATGTTAAGGCCTTGTTTAAGATTTAATAAATAATAATTATTTCCCATATATAGGAACTGGGTTGCTTTATAATAATGATACCATCAAATCTTAGCAAATTAGATGTTTTATTTTAAATAAATTATCAGAGATGAATGCATTTGCTCAACAGGTCTTTTAAACTCAGCTTTATGCTGTTGAGAGCCAATATCAAATCTTCTACTCTGGTAGTGGCTTTATTTTTAAAACAGTCAAAAGTCAAGAGTGCCGAGTCCATAGGCTAGCTTGGATAAGCAATGGTACAAATGTGGCTTTGGTTGGAAATTATATCACAGATAGCATACCTGGAGCTAGAATTCATCAAGATATAAAATAATAAATTTATTTTGTCACAATCTACTCTTTTTGAAGAAAGACCTTCTAACAATTTAGAATATCTCAATTATGACTAGCTTTTAGTGAATGGGTTCTGAATCAATAGTATCAGCAATGACCAATCAACAAGTCATCATGGTTTTTCTAGCAGTGACTAACGAACATGGTTTCCTGGCCTGCGGATGTTGGGATTTTTCTACCTTCCTTTCTTTTCCTTTCCCTCCCTCCCTCCCTCCCTCCCTCCTTCCTTCCTTCCTTCCTTCTTCCTTCCTTCCTTCCTTCCTTCCTTCCTTGATGCTGGGATTTTCTGCTGTAGACTTGAAAGCTTTATTTCCAGGTGGCAAAAGAAACATATCTCAAAGGTGAGTTATTATGTCTAATTTCAGCTTTCCTTTCACTGGTCAAAAATTTTACACCATTGTTATAAAAAAAACTTTTTGGTGTTTAGTATTGTCTCTGTATCAGTTCTCTTTCTGAATGAGTTTGTTCCTTCACCAAAATGTAACCATCTAGCCATCATTTTTATTCGTACCATTCTCAGAGATAATAGCCCATTTGAACAAACTAAATTTTAGACTTTTAAAATAGCAATAGTTTTATCATGGTTACATAATTTCTTCACCAATCATCACGTTCATCTTTCCTACTTTCTCTAAATTTGTTGTACCTATTAAAAATTTTTGTTCTTGACATTTTTTGTCATTGTAGAAGTCAAAGTTCTCATTTGCATATTTCTGTAATTTAGCAGGAGGTTGAATATAAACTTTTTGTTCTAGATAACTGTCATTCATTTTTAAATCTTTAACAAACACAAGTACTTTTTTCTATTCTACACAGCAGCCAGTGGGAGACTGCCCAGCCAATTTTGAATAGTGCTTCAACAGTGTGTCCCAAGTACAATCACTTCTCCAGTCAAATTCAAAATCAAACTCAATATTACTTTATAGTTATACCTCATAACTATATCATATTTTTAAAGGTATAACATTCTTTAGATGCTACAAATTGTCGTTAACTACTTAATTTGTTTATTCATGCACAAAACTACCTCCCAGAGATTAGACTAAGTCCCTTTAAGGGTTTTAGGCCTCCATTCTGAGCTGTTTTGATTTATAGAAAAAACTGGAAAAACTCTAGAAGTAGAGCAGTTCACTTCCTTTGTAAAACCTGTTTTAAAAAAGAGACAGTTTTAAGTCAAATAATTCATAGAAAAAACACAATGATTTCTTTAAAAACATTTTCTCCAAAATAGAGCACTAGTATCGACTGCCTGTGCACTGGGTGCGAGGTGCTGTGCTAGGCCCTGCAGAGGCCAGGAAACGCTGGGGAAAGCCAGAGAGCCCAAACTGGGGCCAGCAGGGGTTCTGGGTCTGGCTTGCACAAAACTGGACTGTATTTTACTGTTTTTAAACTGTTTTATTTTGAAATTAATTTATACTTAGAGAAACCTTACAAAAATAACAGTTCCCATGTCTGTGCACTCAACATCCCCAAAGTTAACATCCTACATAACCACAGTATCATTAATAGGAACCAGGAAATTAACATTGATACAATGCTTCTAATTAGTCTGCATGCCTTATGTGAATTTCACCAGTTTTCCAAATAAGTACATTTTTGAACCACAGTATTTGTATAAGTTTTAATTAATTAAAAAGTAAGGGTTTTCCCCTGACATTCTAGATTCTATCTAATCTCTTGAAAAATCTGGCCATGCTGGACCTGTGTTCCTACGGCCACACCAGCCAGCTCTGAGCAGCGACTGTACCTTTTAGGTAGGTACATGCTTTCCGGTTGGCAGCGGACTCTGACTCCCTGATACGGAGACTCACTGTCAGCTGCTATTTGTCACTGAGCTGCCACTATTGATTTTCTTACAGTAGAATTATGAGGAAAGTGAAACTGTTCTAATGCCTATATCTATCAAAAGTAACAAAAATGAAAGGTAGACCAAGAAGAACACATGTTTAGAGAACAATGAGAGCACCATATTTCCTTGTGGAAAGGAAGAATATTCCTACATGTTACGTATGTAAATAAAGTGTGTTTTTGTTTAAAAGAGACGCCCACAGTTTTGTTCATTTGTATCGCCTACCTGGCCCCTATGCATTTGAGACTGCAAACTTCCACACTTTACCCTAAAGAAGCTTTGGTGTGGAAACAAGGCATGTGTTTGTGGATATTTAGACAATGGTTCTAAAAGAAGTATACAGAAATATGCCAAGATGCCAACTCTGGATCAATTCAATCTCTGTCTTAATCATTTCCGATACCTAGACTTCGGAAAGCTGCTAGGGGAGGTCTGGGACCCTGCAGACTGGGACCTGCCCGACTTCAGGCATCCCCTTGGCTGGCCCTTCATCCTCCCCAACAATTCGACTCATCCCTAGTCAGCTCCCTATCCCACTGCCCTACCCAGCGCCTCTAAACTTTCAATTCCTTCCTCAAATTGCTCCTCCACTGCTCCGCATCTTGCTTTCAGTAGATGGCTTTGCCTTCTGCTTCACGAAGAAAAGAGACATCAGTGAGCAGTTATTCTCTGACATTCTCAAATCCATGCCTTTCGCTCACAACTTACTTGCTACCTCAGATAACACTTGCCTCTGTACAGGTGCCTCCTCTCCCACTACATCAGAGATCATGCTCCTAACCACATCCTCCTCATCTGTTCAGCTCTTACTCTCTGCTTCTCTTTTCCTTCAATATAACAAGCATGCTTAAGTCTGTCCCAGCTCTCAGATAAAAACAAACCCAAAAAATATCCTTTTTGAACCCCACTTTCCACTCTAGCAACTATCCTGTATCTCACTTTCTTTTCACAGCCAAGTGAATTGAACAGGTTTCTACAGTTAAGATCTCCCACTACAATTGCCCGTAGCCAGCACTACTTAAACTAATCTCAATATTAATAAAACCAAGAGCTTCTTTGCCAAAACCCATGGAAATTTTTGTCTGATACTGGAGTCTCTTTTCTCTTAAAAATGCTCTGCTGTCTTGGATTTCTGACACCACTCTATTGGAATTCCTCTTTCCTTGTGCTTCCTTCACAGTTTGGCTCAAGTCCCCAATCCCTTCTCTTTTTACTCTTATAATTTCCCGTGGGCAACCTCCCCGAGCCCAGGGCTGTTGGGTGTCTCTGCCCTCTTGGGCACTTAGCATATCCATGTCTTTGACATTAGAGGATGTTTCCCTTTTTTTTTTCCTGCCTCCCTCTAGACTGTGAACTCCTTCAGATCACAACTATATTTCAACAATGTACCAGCCCTGCCAAACACAATATCCACCCAGCCTGGTATTGTAATGAAGACACTCAGACTTTTTGTTGAAGAAGTAAATGTCAGCAAACTTGGCTGCACCCCCCATGACCACAATACCCTCATCTGCATGGTATTAAGGACGTCAGTTTTATATTAATGACCACAAGGTCTGCATAGTGATGGTTTAGCACCAGGCTTTGGAGTCAGACCCCTTGGGCTCCCGGTACCATTCAGTCTCCCGGCTCTAGGGTGTGTAACCTTGGGCAAATAGATTTCCCTGAGCCTGAGTTTCCCCATCACTAATAGAGCTAACTATAGTAACTGCTTCTTAAGATTGTGAGAACACCTGTAAAATCTTTGTGGGGAGTACTAGGTATTAGCAAGCCTAATGTTAGCAATAAATAATAGCAAACTAAGTTAGTATTATTGATAGTTACTTTAGCATCTGACAAACGCCTCCAGCTCTTTACTAATTAAGAGTACTAAAGAATTCTGATACTGATCACCAGGAAAATTATCAAAAATTGCCTATCTTTGTGCTACCACTTAGCAACATTCCTCCATTTATTCATTAAATATTTTACTGAGTTCTTATCATGCAAAGCTCTGCTTTAGGCCAAATTCTGGAGCTTATTTGGCACCCTCAAAGACCTGGTGATACCTCTTGGCAAGCAAATTAAAACAAGTATCAAAGCTTCCCCAGTCCACTGGCTTACCCCCAAAGTAAAATAGAACCGAGCATCCGGCAGGAAGGCGGACAGAAAATGAGTGTCCGCAAAGGCTGCGCGGGGCTGCCTGCATCGCAAGCGCCCTAGAACCCTGAGGTCCGCCCCCAGAGCCACCGGGCGGGTTGACAGCAAAGGGGAAAGAGCGCTGGCTGGCAGTCTTTCTCCACTCTCCCGTGCGCTGGAGAGCTGGCCTGGAGCGGGCCTCTGGGCCCTGCTACGGTGCTTCTGACCGCGCCCACCCCCCTTTGTCCTCTGCCGCTGTCCCGCTGTCCCCGCGTGCCTCTGAGCCCACCGTCTCCCACGTGGGCTGGAGGCCGAGGAGGGTTACGCGCGCTCGCGCGTGAGCACCCAGCCTCACAGTAGCCCTGTCACCCACCTGCTGCCCCAAGGCTAATGTGCGCTAGCAGGACCTGACTGCCAAGTCTTCTCGAGGGCAGCTGTCGCCCGGGCGTTTCGGCTGGGCTAGTCCGTAAGGGTTAGAGTACCGCTGCCTGTTAATATTTCACCTCGCTCTCCCCTCCCCCACCTACACACCCAGCACTGCTGGTGTCCTAAACCCCTCCCAGTGGTTGGTGCTTTCCTCTTAGGACTTAGGGGAACTCCAGCGGTAAAAACCACAGACACTTCCCCTTAATCACTCACTCGGGGATTTCCATGCCCCTAAAAGCGCGATTATTTCTAAACCTCAGTATATCCGCGAGACATTTACTGAAAGGCTAAGCTCTGCTTCACTATTCGTGGGTCAGAGGAAAGAGTGATAACCTATGCAGGGAAGGTAATCACTGGTCATCTTGACTGGAAATAGTCCATCTCCCTTAGCTACATATTTTTAAAAACTCATGAAACTTGGTGAAACCTTTCTGATAATTTTTACTTTTTGGTCCAATTGAGAAATTAGACCAAATTAGGACCTCTGGTACTTGAACGTTGTACTTCCCTCACAGAATTTCAATATATATACTCAAAACAGACAACTTTATGATGACTCTGGCACATATTTCTGAAATAATGTATGTGTAAATTAAAATTTAAATTTTTTCCTGTGATCTAAGCCTCTAAGTATTAAAAAAAAGTTTCTCATTGATTGCATTATCATTTATATTACTTTTGATTCTTATTACACAGTTGTTGAAATAAGTTTTTATAAATGTTGATAATTACTAAAGATAAGTAAAATTCTATTACAAATGTAATCTTAATGGGGTTGCAGGTTATATTTTAACAATTTATTCAAGTATGTGTAATATTA